TGGCCACGGCTTCCCAGACTGGTTCCTCAAGGCAGAGCGCTGCAGGAGCACATCCAAGGCCCTCCAGTTGCCTTATTCTCTTTGTGTTGCCCCTGCTGCGTCCATAGGCAAGACCAGTCTTCCAACCCGAACCGTTCTATGATTCTGTGTAATCACTCTGTTCCAAATAAAAGCCTTTTGGAAAGAGCCTTTGATGCTGTCGACCTGCATGGCGTTACTCAGGCTGTTGTGTACCACAGAGCACAAAATATAGCTGGAAAGCTATGCGTTTTGCAGAGGAAGTGTATTCGTGTGAGACTGCTCACCTGTTTTTCCTTTATCTCTAGATATGGTCCCAAAATGCCTCTTGCAGTGGATTGTACTGCTGAACTGATTCGTTGCAAGGTTCTGGATTCATCTGGCAGATTGAAGTCACACGAGCTCATCCTCTCTTATGGGCTGGCTCTTGTAAGGTGGGGCTCTGGAGGCCTGTGTGCTGTGAGAGAGACAGACCTGGACAGATAGTGGTGTTCAGTTGTCAAATTTCACTTTGCATCTTTGGGACCACAGTGTTGCACAGCATGTGGGGGATTTGTCTCTGGGGCTGCAAGTTTCTCTGCAGCTCTTGATAGTCATTTATCTTTTTTGTAACCTGCATGCAGGTTTGTCAACTTGATCACAGAAAGGAAACAGAAAATGGTCAGCATTCCTCTGAGACAGTTAGCCAGAGAGGTAAGTATTTAGTAAGAGTTACTTGATAACTTATGTATATACAGTGAGCATACGCATTGTCTGTTAACAACACTGGGTGGAGGGAGCTGTGGGGGGGTCATTCTTTTGTAACCAAAATAATATAGATGCCACTTCTTTCCAACTGAAAGGTTTTAAAGAGGCTTGATGTAACTAGATATAAAACTTTGTTCTTTAAAGTTAGATTAGGAGTAACAAAGACTGATGATCATTAAAACGTTTTTGGATCACGTGTGATCAAGAGTCCTGATTTACATGTAAACAGTCCCACTTGACATATACACCACACGTTTTTGTTTCTTAGCTACTGAGATACGGAACAAAAGCTAAACCTATGGTTTATAAATTCTAGTCTTTGACAAGCAAGGTTATACTTAAAAAGCACTTAATCACATTTGCAGGCATTTTCATCTTGTATCTCTCACTTGAGGTGAGCTTGTCAACTTCTGTGTGGAGGAGGGAAGGTTCAAGGTGTAATTGCAGTAGCAGGACCAGCTTGAGTCCTTTTATTGCCAGCTGCACTGAGCATCATATCTGGGTCTGAACAGCAAGTTTTGAAAGTGAAGAACAGGCAGTACTTGAGACTCTCCAATATATGCAGCCTTGTATGGGGCCCCAGTGTGAGAATGATCAATTGTGGGGTTTATTTTTTTCCCCCTGGATTTTTAAGAAAGGTGCTGCTTCTCACCTTTTAAAACTGATCAAGCTTAAAAATAGAGGTTATTTTACTATTAGCTATAGCTAAAGTTAGTTTTCCTTAGGAAAGTTGCAAAAAATTGCATGCAACTTAGTGTGTACGATTTGAGTATTATATATGATATGATTTGTATCTTTGATGTGCAAACTGTCATCCAGAATGTTTATCAGTTTAAATATAATTTAACTGCTTCTCAGTGTCTCATTAAATTGTACGTAGCACCTCTGTCTAAAAAGACATCTGTTGTTGCAAGTAACATTGAAGAACTGTAAAATCCCAAGTTTGTATGGATCCTAGGCCACTGGAGGAGTGGGATCAGAGAGGAGGGGATCTCATCCCACCCTTGAAGTGGGAGGCTGGGGGACTGTGGTGCAGGAGTGGCCCAGAAGAAGCTGTTCCCACCCAGGTAGAGGTTCTCTGCAGCATTGCAAGGCTGCATGCGGTTGTGGCATTGGCATGATGCAGTGGGAACTGTGAGGTGACGCCCATGGCTTTTCTTCCAGGTGGATATCCCCATCTGGGTTGTGGATCTCCGTCACGAGCTGACCCACGGGAAGCTGCCACGCCTGGCTCTGTGCCGCAAGGGTGAGTACTGCCAGTGGATGGCATTGAGAGGACCTGGCCTGAGGTGCACTCAGGGCAGCAATTCCAGTGCCACAGGCCCTCAGGGGAGCCCCCTTCCCTCCATGTCGGGGCCCTACAGCACAGGTGGCGAGCTTGTCCTGGTAAGGGAGAGTTGTGGTGTGAGACACCAGGAGGCTTTGCCACTGCCCTGGGGGGTAGCTGAACTGTGTCTGGTGGTTCCAGACTGTGGTGCATCACAGAGCAGGTGTTCAGAGACTTTCTCCTTCCCCTGAAAAAAATACTAGAAACAATAGTTTAGCCCTCTTGTTTCCTTACAGCTCAGGAAGTTCATCTTGGGGAAAGGGGTAAATGCTTTTCCTGGTGGCTTGGAGATACCTGAGACTCTTAAATCCCATTTAGGGAGAAATGCAGTAGGTACTGCAAGCCTGAACGAATGACCAGCTCATGGCCTTTGAAGGGATTCTTGGGAATTTTGGGTTAAGCACTGAGGAGCCAGTTAAGCTTCAGCAGGGTCCTTAGATTGAGTTGGGCTTTGAAATAGTGATGGGAGAAAAGGGTTTTCTCTCTGACCTGTCTCATGTATGCCTAGTGTAGTCTCTGCACAAAAAATTAATGTTATTGTTATAGACACTGTGTAGATCGTGGTGGTACTAAAGAATTGACTCATTTTCTCATCAGAATGCCACTGCTGGGACTTAGTTTCTGCTGAAATTTGGCCTAGCTTGAGCGAGGTGCAGCACTGGAAGAGTGTCCAGTGTTTCTTGTTGCCAAAAAGACTGCAGATGGATGTTACCAGGCCTGTGATACTGGGGGGTTTTTGGTTGTGTTTTTTTGGGGTGGTTTGTTTTTTTAAACCTCATTCACCTTTTTATTGATGGAGTTGTATGAGATTTTAGGGTTTGTAACTTGTTAACAGCATTGCTTTTCACAGTGCAAGTTAGCAATGTGTCACCTGTATTTTTTTTTTCAATAACAAAGAAAATGTCACTGAGAAGAGGATATTTTCTTTTCTCCCTTAGGTTGTGATGTTGTGCTGGACTGGCTACGAAAGACATATTGGAGCCGTCAGCTGGGCAATAACTTGTGCGAAGAAAGTGAAGATGAGGACGAGGAGCAGGAAGAAGTGGAAAGAAATGCAGAGTTGGACAATGATGCATGGGAGATTCAAACTCCACAGCATGAGGCCTGTCAGAAACACAAGGAATTCCATGGTAACTGTCACTAGTACAATGGCAGATACAAGGATTAGATATGTGCTCTGCTAGAGAAATCAGTTTGTAAGTGTCATCTTCTAGCCCTGGCAGTGTGTAAAGAGATACCTTTAGCTCAGATTTTGGGATTCCTCTTTGGGCCTTCGTGGATTCTTGGGGTGATTGACTTTTTGTGGTATTAGCTCACTGAATTTGTAACATAAAATCTTTTTCTGCTATTGAATATGCAGTATTAACAGTTACCCTGGGATGGTTTAGGACCAAGCATTTTAAAAATTAGTTGTAGTGTCTTGCCAGCCACAGTTTTGGTATTGAGGCCACTGTGCACAAAGACGACTATGATCCTTTTATAGCTCTCAAAACTCTGAAGACTCATAAATTGAGCAAAAGCAGGATAAAGGCAGTACAGTCAGTTTCAAAATACTTCTCATGTGGACAGAACAATCACTAGCTGCCAATAGTATAAAAAAAAAAATCACAGGTAACTCAACCTGGACATAATGTAAGATATAAAGTGCAAAACAATGAGAAAACTGTAGTAAACTGTTCCACTGGTAGCTTTTCCATTACCAGAAGTCTGTGAACCCAAAATAAGGAGCTTTTCTCGAAGTGGATTTCTAGTTTGAATGACTTACTGGAGGAAGTGTGAGTTCTGATTCGATGACTGGTCTGCAAGTTTGAGGCATTGGAGGTATCAAACAGTAAAACCAATTAGTTATATTTTTTCTGACAAAACATGGCATGCATATAGGGAGTAACTCACCCAGGAGATTACAGCAGCCAAATCCAAGGTCCAGAAAGTGTGCAGAAATGCTGAAGTGACCCTTAGTGCTCTCTGGAAGGTCACACTTTCTGGCTTTAGGTTCTATAGATTTGTTGCAAGTCTTTTCTAATAACAGACTCATACATAGATACAGTAGCTGTGATCCAGAAAATACTAACTAATTTGTTGTGCACTTTGAGTTTAATACAGAATTTAGTAGAAGGGTCTAAACCTAGAGGCAGTACTAAACTTTGGAATGCAGCAGCACTTGCCACTTTTCTTGTCGGAGTGTATGTCTGGACTTCTGTCTGACTTCATGTTGGATCAGATCCAAGCATGTGCTATTCCTTCCTCTCTCTGGCTACCCTGAAAAAACAGCAGAGCCCACACCCCACCCCGAGTTGCTGAAGGAGAGAACCACAGATTGATATGGTAAATTCTATGATTTATATATCCAGAGTAATGGAATGCCACTGATGTGTCAGTCCTACAGTTCAAATGCATCTGAAGTTTTATCTGGCTAATACTGGGTGGTGGGCACCCTGATAGCAGGTGACAATGACACCTGAATGGTGAAGCAATTTGAAAGGTGGTGCTATTTCAGGTACAAAGTAAAAGTGTTCCACAGATAGAGAAAGGACGTTTCATGTAGATGGTATATTCAAGTTTAATAAAATCCTATAAAGATATGGTTCATTTGTGAATAGCCACAGTGCTGTTGCAATAGATTTAAAATGCAAGTATAAGGAATGCAAAAATGCATCAGAGCATGAACTGCCTATGGGAACAATTTCTTTCTAAACTGATCTATTTAGGAATTTTTTTGGAGCTGTCTGGATTTATCCAACTTGTCTGTCTTTGGCCACTGTTAGTGATGGAATACTGAACTCCTGGTTCAACCCTGCTTGATAAAACTTATGTTGCTAGAAAAGTCTGGGAAATGTAGGAGTCTTCACAGTGTTGTCTGAATCAGAATTTATGACTTCATTTGGCTGATGTCTTCCTTGAGTGTATATTCAGCAGAACTAAGCAGCTTGTCCAGATACAAAATTACCTTTTATAGTTGATCCATTCCCTGTTTAAACTATATGTTTATTTCTAGAAAAAGTCAGAGATGTGCTGATATCCTACAAGAATGAGCAATTTCGGGTAAGTGCAGTCTGATCATTGGCACTTGCGTTTTTTCTCATTTCCTGCTTGCGACAATAAGTATTCTCTTCATTCTTACCCAAACTGAAGAGCTGGTGCTCTTGGCCAGGGCTCATTTGAAACACCTGAGTGCTAGCATGACCAAGTTGCTGTGCCAGGAGTTTGTTTCATATAACTGCAGGGATTCCTTTTTTTCTCCCTGTAGTGTCCTCCCATAGTTAGAATCTCTCCAGAAGCGTCAGTGATACAGGGGTGGTATTTGCATCGGTGCCGCAGAGGTGGCAGGAAGCTGGTGTCCGCAGTGCTCCAGCGCTTGCCAGGTTGTGTGCTCTTGCCCGAAGTAGTGCTGCTGCCTAGTGTGTAGCCCACAGGGGACCTGTGCCTGCTGTGTTTGCGAGGAGAGGCTTGGTTAGTTCCTTGTTCGGATCTCTCTCCTCATGTCAAAGTAGAGCTTCACTGCAGAGAGCAAGCAATTTGAGCTGCGATGGTTTCTGATGTGAACACTTTGTTCATGTTTGTAGATGAGATATGTACTGGTTGAAGATCCCAATTCTTCCTTGTGCGGGTGGCTAGTACTCTGTTTTCTTTCATCCTAGTGTCTCTGGAAATTGAAACCTGTCATTCAGAAGTCATTAGCCTATGTTTTATATCATGCACCGTGTATTTTTGCAGTGCCCAAGGTGCTGCAGTTCAGATTTGTGACCAGTTTGCCCCAGAAATCGCTCTCTGCACAGCTTCCCCTTAGTAATGGGATCATTCTTAGGATGTGTCGAGAGCTGGGTTACAGACCTTGTAAAATGTCTTTGAATACAACCTCACCAATCTACTGTTGTTACTGGAGAGCTGTTCTCTCTTCTATTTCAATTAATATCATTAGGGCTAAAGGAGAAAGTGTGCTAACATTCCAGTGAAGTGTAGACTTAATCAGCAGTGAGAACTAGGGTCAGGAATTTTATTGAAAATGAACATCCAGTTTCCTTCGTTGTCTTGATTTTGGAGTACATAATGTGATGATTCTTTGTTCATCTATTTCTGTAGTGGGTACTGGCTTATTTTGTATGTTTTGCATTGCATTGTAAAGGAGACGATTATATGTGGTGAGTGACTTCTTAACAGAGGGAAATATTTCAAACTGAATAGGAAAATGCAAATTCAAAATTTAAACTGGCCAGGATTGAATGGGGGAAAGGAGTAGTCAGTCAATTGCAAAAGAGTTATTTAAAAACTTTTGTTTCAAAGTGTATGTGAAACTCTCCTTATCCCATCAAATTGGTGTAAATACAGGCTGAAGAGTAAACTCTTGTTGTATGCCTCAATTTAATTGAATGCTGCATACTGTGCTTTTCAGATTTTTCTGTTCACCCTGCAAGGCTGTCTTTCTTGTTGAGTGATTTCAAGTGGTGTACTTCTAAGACTCAGCTGTGAGAAAATACAGCTGAATTGTGAAAAATGAATGCTCTGTAGATACATGTATTGTGGATATAGCTTTTAATGTATTATTTTTGCCACTCTGAGGTTCACTGAGTAAGGGTGGGCAAAGGCCTTGCCAAGATACTTCAGCGCTAAGGAGTATTACTCCTTGTGGCTGATACCTGCAAGTTCTTAGCTGAAGTTTGTCTTTAATAAAAACCACAATACTACTTATATGCATTAATAACTATTGCTAGTAATTTGAAGAGATGCAAACATATTGGTCCTTTGTTGGTCTCTGAAAATCTGTTCTGTACAACAGTAGACCTGTAATTTAAAACTGATTATAGCTGATAAAATCTCTGAAACTTAGAAATGGGTTGAAAAAAATGACATGGACTTGTTCTTGTACCCTTTAAGGGCAAATGGTTTGGTGCGTCCAAGTAATTTCTTAACCGCAACAGCAACTGAATGTTCCAAATATCAAATAGATACTACTTGAAGCTTTTTTTATTTTAAACACTTACCCTGGATTGGCATAGCAAGAGTGGTACAGTATCTTTGCTAGTCTCCCTGCAGGGACACTCTGCTGTGAGTCTCCCTGCATAAAAGTAATCTTTTTCAAGTAAGAAAGAGAATCAATTACACCTAAGTTATCTTTAGAACGGTGTAACTGTACAGTCTCTGATCCAGATACTTCTCTAGCTATTTTGTTAGCTACTCGTTATACTTAAAAGTTTATACAAATGTGTAAGGTGTGAACTAGGCCAAAATAACCTCTGTCATTGGGGCCATGTACTTTGTTGTCTCATTGTTCGTATAGGTAGTCTAGAGGTTCTTTAGTAATTTAGGTCATGTGTTTATACTTGATTTGTCATTTAAAGTATCTTTTGCGTGCAGTAGTAGCTTTGTATATATAGGTTTAGAGAGCTAATCACAGTCCTGAAAATGACGCCTTGTTTTTTTGTTCTCATTTTACATTAGATTCATACCTGGCAGGAAAAATAATTTCTTCTTTTCTCTCAGTAATTATTGTCTTCCGAAAAGAATTTGCTAGATTCTTGTTGGTGATGTAACGTGCTTCATGCCAATGTTTTATAGAAGGTGGTGATGGCAGAATTGCCACTTGGGTAGGTTGTGAGCCGAAGTGGAAGGCATGTCTTGCTGGACAGACTGAGATAAGATATATATCAAGCCAAGAAATCACTGACTTTCAGAGGAGTACTAACCTCCAATATTCTCTCTTCTGTTCTTGGTACAACTTGGTAGTCTGTTTTGTGTATTGCTCCTACTCACCAGATGCTCTCAGCTGATTACAGGTTGTCTAGATGGCTGTGTTGATTTGACATTTTGATCTACTGTATGCATAATGTGACTGGCAGAACCTTGTTCTGACTAGGCAACCTCATCCTCACCCCACATGGGGTGTGGGGATGATTCAAAATGATTCTGTCCTGGTTTGTGCTGAAGTCAGGGAGAGCAAGATTTATAACCAGGATGAGGTTGACAGGTCTGACTTCTTGGTGTTGCTGCCTTTTTAATCTAGGCCTTTTCCAAGTATGACATGGCTTATATTAATTTTTAATATACCCCTAGGAAGGGGAACTTTTGTGAGTTTTTCGAAGTGCTGTTCATGAAGTACATGTGGCAAGTGCATCTTCTCTTCATAGCAATGCCTTTCTGTTCATCATTGGAGCATATTTTCTGTTAATGCTTGGATTTTTCCTTCACTCAGGTTATGCAGACTGTGCAGTCTGTTTCGAAGTCTCGAGAACTGTGGTCTGATTCATCTTCAGAAGTGGACTGGATTTTGGCTCAGATCAAAGACCTGATGCAAGAGAACAGGTACATCTCTGATGAGGAGCTGAAGTGGAAGGTACAGTGCAGAGCTGGGCCTGTAGACCTTTTGCACTACCTTTTCACCATGTCCTTCAGCTGATCATGGAGAAAGCAATTGATTGATTTCCTCAACATCTTTGAGGATTGAGTTGTTAATCTATGTTAATGGGTAATGTTCCCTGTGCCAGATGGTCTCCAAGGTGTTGTCCCTGACTTAGCTGTGCTGGCCTGAAGGCATGTCAGCACCTTCAGTGTCTTCAAAAGCTCTCCCAACAACCTTGTGTAGACTTTGATTTCACGGTAACCTTTAGAATTCTTCAAAATTGCAGGACAATGCTTGGCCTCTTCTATACTTTCTAGTACTGCAGGGCCTCTATGACCTTGAGACTTTATTATTACTATATAAATTTGCGTGAAGATCCTGTCCCACTCTGAGAAACACAATCAGTGTAACTCTGTAGACAGGATAGAGTATCACATTACAGATATGAGCTATAACTCCTGATGTTGGATATAAATATATATACCATACAAGCTGCTGGTTAGTTTAAGAGGTCATCAAATGTTGTGCCAGAAGAAAACCCTGAGGACGAGACTTGCACCTTAAGTGTCATTGCCCATTGGTTACTGAGCATGGAGTAATGAGCATGAAGGTTCTATAATGAAAAGCATAACTTAATAAACATGACATTTCTATATCACTTGAACTGTCTGTTGCTAGATGGTTGGTAGGTACTGGTGGAAGCAAACCATTGCACCTACTGGTGATTATGATCCTCTCTTCCCTAAGCATCCTCTGTTAGCCACTATCAGAGCACGAATGGACCCACAGGTATTTCAATATGATAAATGTTTCTGTGCTTTTGAAATACCAAGATATTTGCCTCTGGAACTGGAGCAGAAATGTTTCCTTCAAGGTTCTGGTTATGTTCTGGTTTACACAAGTATACATTCTGTCCCAGTCTAGTGGGATATATATCCAGCCCCAAACTGCCATATAATTTTAATGCCTTAAAACAAGCTACATCACCTCCTCATAGTTCCAGGTATTTGGCTGTCGAACTTGTTTCAGAACGGGTGCAAGTGGTATTTTGATATGCAAAGGAGTAAGTGGCATTAATAAGACTCTTGAATTGCTCTAGGGAGACAGTGGCTGAAGCTCTTCTCAGTGATGGCTTTCTCATCCCAAAGATGGATTGTCTGAAGATGCTAAATATCAAGTATGAAGGTTAGTGTTTTGGGCACCACATAAGTAAAAAGTGCATAGCTAGTGTTATGTCTAAGTCTGTTCTTTTTTTTCTCATTATGTTGTAATTTGTAATTCTCTGCATATTTTTCATATATCTGCCTCCTTAAACATCTTTTGACTTGTTCTCCAGGCCCTTTTACGGCCACGCTTAGCTATTGCTTTTGCATAAATGTCTGCCATGGAAGGATAGCACTTCAGCACTGAATGCTGCCTGGCCGAAACATCTTCTGGAGATTGCATCTCTGCCTGTCTGCAATAGTTACTGATTTCATGAACTCCCACTAATTCATTTTCTACATTGAAGATTTGAAGCAAACCTAAATTTTTTTTTTGAGCCTCGTTCACCAGTTGTATCTTGGTTCCATGCTGCTGTCAATACATGTGGATTAGGTAAAAGGATTAGGTACCTAGAGGCAATGAAAATTAATAATTTGTCTGTTCTCCTGGGACCTCTTGGAAACATCAGCCAAAGAACTTTCCAAGAAAGATCCTCAAATTTCTGTGACTATATTATAGTAGTAAACATATAGGAGCTTTTTGATTCTGTGTTGCTTTGCTCAGTGTGCCTTCTCTTTGCAGTATGTTTTTAGACAGAAGAGCTCTTCGTTATGTGTGAAATAAGGTCAAACTGGAAAGGGATTAGCAAAACAGGTAGATTTTCCTGTGGTTTACCATGTGATTAGATCAGACGTTGTAATTTTTGCTTTCATTGCACTGTTGTGTTAATTATCAATTTGCTGCTTCTTTTACTTCCCTAACGTAAGAAAATAGTACTTCCAGGTTCAGTGAGAATCCCAGTAAACACCCTGAGTTTGATCTCAGAACAAACTGCTTTACTTTGGAACAAGTGTCATACCTGTGGTTCACAAAAAATTACAAAACTGTGATTTTTGACTTCCTTTTTTTTTTTTTTCTTGTTATTGCAGTAAATAAAGAGGTATGGCAGTTCAAAATTCCTCAGACGTTTTACTGCTTTTGGCAGCCTTTGCTGACAGGCCTCCTCTCCCGAAGTTTTACACAGATCCTAATAGAGAAAATGTTTATGGAGTTGAAGGAATGTTCTGACTCTTCAGAGCTCCGGCCTCAGTTCTTGATCAACTGGATTTCTGAGATGCTGACTGGCATTGCCAAAGTAAACGCTGGTGAGTATGTCTGGAATCTTCTGTGTGTAAAAAATGTAAGTCTCTTCTGTACTATTGCGAAAACAGGGAGAGTGGTGTGACCTTTAGATGGAAAGTTCAGAACCTGATTATTACCTTTTTGTCATGTGAACGCAGAGCTTTTGTTGTTGCATTTTCTTACACTTTCAACCTGCAGCTTATGTATGTCATGGATTTCTTAGCAAAAAATTGAAATTGTTATTGGCAACTTGGCAGCAGCCTCCTCAAGATAGGAAGAGCCAATCTCTCCCATGAAGGATCAGGCCCTTAAGTGCTATTTTTTCCAGATATCAGTACTTGTAGGAAATAACAGCAGATTACAAACAACCTGTTGAGTTCCCTGTTCCCAGTTTTTTCCTCACTTAACAGAAGCCTGCCTTTGCAAGATACTTACATAGTCTTGCTGTCCTTTTTCAGTCGTATCACAGTATTTTCACCCCTTCTAAACTTTACACAAAGGTAATAAGTAACATTTCGTTTTCTGTTCCAAACTCCTCAGAACTGTTTAAATTGGCAAACTCTGTTTCACTCAAGAGACGGGCACAGAAGAGCTTTAATTATTCAAAGCGTGTCACAGGAATTCTCTTAACAGAGCTTTTGTACTGCGATATAGCGTATCCCTCAGGAGGTTTCCAGCTGGCTAATTTTGCCACCTCTTCTGTCCTCTCCCGGTCTGGCTCAGTCTGCAGCAACGTTTTGCCAGTGTCTGTGGCAGTCACAGGTTCATGTTTGATGCTTTCAGTCAGCACTGAGCATATCTATTATGTACCAAGATCCCTGGAATGGTGGTAGTTCCCACCTGTGAAGTCTACTCATTGCATTGTCATCCGGAATGATCTCAGGTCCCAGAAGCAGAATCCTGCATTTATTTGGGACAATGCTGTACAAAGACATCTTGTGGCTTTCCTTTCTGGGATGGCATGCACAGAACCAGCTTGGGAAGGTCTGCACCTCACTGTGGTCACGTCTTGTGGAGCTCATCGAGCTGTGGGTGCATTGGCAAGTCCCTGTAACAACCTTGGTGTGTTTGATCGGTACATCTGGTCTTGGAATGCCATCTTATTTGAGGATGAGTGTTCCAGTAAAAATGCAAAGGGATGAAGGGTGTATTTTTAACGAGTTTTGAGCCTCTTGTTTGCACTATCTTCTTTGAAGGGAAGAAAAGACAACACTGTAACAAACAGGTGCCGGTGAAGGAGCTGTTCCTCCATAAAGTTCCTTTGCAGTGGATAAAACTGACTGATAATTGCTTGGAAGCTCCCTGCTGGGCAACTCCACACCTTCTTCAGCTGTAAGTTTGATCCTGTGGCCTAGAAAAGGGACAGCAAACAGTGCTCTGTAACAGCTTTGTCCTGCTCCCCTGTGATATGCCAAGTTACAGCCCCATTCCTTTCCCTTCCTTTGCATCTAGTAGAAATTGTAGCAGGTGCATATAAAGCCCTGCTTGTTGCTGCTCATCTCCTTGTTAATTCTACAAAGAGAAGGAGGAGAATTTAAAAGGATTGCACCTTGAAAATTAAAGCAGAGATTATGTGGGGAGGTATTAAAGAAACAACTTGGTCAGAAGAAAAGTGACTTGGTAGCAGAGATATGACTGCTTATACAGATGATACAAATTTAGCACAGTTGGTGACTTTTTCACATGAAAACAGCAAAGGAGGAATTAAGTTAAAAGTATCCCAAGTCCTCAATTTTATCACAAAGAGGGAGTATTCCAGCATCCAGCCAGCAGGGAATAATCGGATTTGCCCGTTAGAGGGGATATGTGAACGAGCCATCCTGGAGGAAACTGACACTTAAAAGGCTGCTCAGCTTGATAAACCTTCATCTGGAATCTATTTTGCTTTTAAGACTTTTACATTGCCCTTTTCCTTTCTAGGATCCTCACAATCATGAGACCTCGCTTGCCACGTTCTTCGCGAAAGAACCTTCTCTATCTTGCTTCTGTTTACACAGAAGGAGGTGGCCCTTTGTCCAGTCCAGGCCTCTCTTCAATCTGCAGTGAACAGCCAATTTACACTATAGAGAGCTTACAGTGGAGGGCCAGGCAAGAAAATCAGGTTAAAAATCAAGGGCAGAATGTAGACAAACAAGAAGATGTGCTGGAGAGAGATGGTGTAGAGGAGGTGGAGGAGGAGGAAGAAGAGATGGTAACTGAAACAAATCCTTTGGAAGGACTTGCTCATTCTGGTGATGTAGTGGCTATTGCTGAGAAAAAGGCAGCACTGCAAGGGTCCGCCTGGCAGATCACTGCAGGTAACAAATAACTTTGTAAGACTGAGACACTCTTTGTCACTGGCAAATGTTAATTGAAATGCAAAGACGTCTCAAGCCCTCTGGGTGTGGCCAGAATTGAAACGTGCTTCAAACTCATCTAAATGCCAAATCACTGAAAACTTTTTTTTTTTTTTCAGTCTTCTGTTTATGGGCAGGAGTCATCTCTTTTAAACTCTTGAAATACTGAGAGTGCCTTTTTCGGGAGTATGTTGTTACTACCTCATTAAAGTTTTTGTCAGGCCTTTCCAAACTGTTTAAAATTTCAGTGTATCCAATTGGTGGGGCAGCATATATGCCAGCTGTGAATGGCAAAGAAAATACGGATGTTCCTTGGACTTCTGTTTGTCAGACTTAGTGGTATTTGAAAGCAGAGTTTGGCTGTGCTGGAAATCACCAGTCATACATTCCTAAGTTCCATGCTCCCGGAAAATTGCTGTTAAGACATGGTGACAAACAAAAGAAAGGAGCAAGGCAGGTTTTTAGAGGGAATAAACAGTATATCCAGTGTTTTGTTAGCTTTATTACAGTTTCTCCTCGTTGGAGTGGAGGATTCTGTAGCTTAGATGATTTTTGGGTGAGTGATTTATGGAGGGACTTGAAGACAGGAGGAGGAGGTTGGTGGAGAGAAGTTGGAGGCAAAGTGATATTTAAAGGAAGAAGAGGAAAAGCAGCCAGTAGAAGACAATGAAGTCTTGTACCTCACTCACAGGGAAATTTTCCCAAGTCAGAAAAAAAAAAGCCTTCTGCCTGAGTAGCTTGACTTAGTTCTGCTGATGTGAACAGCTTGTTGGAGCTGGACGTTTTGAGGACAGAAGCAAAATTGTCCTCTGCTTCACTGACTTAGTTACCATCTTTAAACAATTTGAAATTATAGCCACTAGGTATGTACAAACCCATGACAACATGTGGTATGTCAGCTATTTACTAGGTTGTTCCCCAAAGAGAGGTCTTAGCCAGTTAAATATATATAATGGTAATTTGCCTTACAGGTGCATTGGATGTTACCAAGTGCTATTTCTGCCCCTTTTGTAATTGTAAAATTATAACACTTAAAAAGCACTATCCTATGTCAAGATTTTTTGTTCTATTAAATGCCCAAGAATGGTATAAAAAGGAAAACAAATAAATCTGCTGGTTCTTTTGGTCATTGCTTGGGTTTTTGAGCAGGTATAAAGTACACAAAATAAATCCGTTTCAGGCAAAGAGAAGGAAATGGCCAGGTTGTATGTGATTAGCAGGGGTCTCAAACAGTCTGTGTAATTATGGCTGGCTCTCTGGAGTGGAGTGCCTTATCTTCTGAAGGCTTCTGTTTGCTGATCTTCGCTGAGCTGCTAGTAAGCGTTCCAGAAATAAGAGTTCTGGTATCAAAAAAGCATATAGGCTTAAGAAATGTTATTGTCAAAACAATGCCACATAGTAATTTGTGTCTTTCATTTAGATGTGAAATAAGGATGAAATTTAAAGGAGGATTTCCCCGTTGAGAACTGCCTTTGAAATTTTGGCACCACAGTATAAACGAATTGACTCACTGATGTTATCAGTTGCAATGGATGGTTTCCCCTTGTGCAGTTTCTGACCCCCATTGGAAGCCAAATTTAACAAATGTGAAGTCATGGAGAGGAAATAGCAATAGGTGCTCATAAAAACAAATAGCAAAATTCCCAAGACATTGTTGTATTGTTTTTCTTTGCCATCTCATCCCAGCCCAGCTGTCTGTCCAGCATTCCTTAATTGGTTTAATTAGGCTTCCCCAGCCTTATGCTCTTCTACGTTTGTGGCTTCAGTTCTTTAGTCACTGCTGCACTGTTGCTGTGCAGCCACTAATCTCAGCAAGTCGTTAAGAAGCGGATGCTGAATCGAACTGGAGGAATGAGCTACTGGATGCAAAGGTGCTGGTTTCTATCTTTATAGTGTACAAATGGCTCTTTCCATTTACAGAAGTATGCAGAGTAATTTTTTAAATTAACATATGTAAGTCAATGTGTACATTTCAAACAAAAGTATGCTTAAAAAAGGAAGGTAAATATGAAGGGTTACTCTAGAATACTGTGGGGTTTCTTTTAATGAGCATTGTCTTATAGTGGTTTGGACGAGCTGCACTGTGTAGACTGCGTGATGTTACATGACTCCAGATGTGTCCCTGTTGTCTTGCATACTATAGAGACTTTCTCTGGAAGAGATAGTAAGGTTAGAAATAAAATTAGTTAAAACCATAGTTCAAACTTATTTTTGAGTACCTGAAATTGTTCATTTTTGCTGAATGGCTGAGTTGTGTGAGACAGTATTTGTGGACTTGGGGGATCTTGTTTTTTGAAAATCAGTCTGGGGAGCTCTGACTTCCTGTTTATGTACTGTTTTTACCCAGATGAAGTACGATGGAAAGACTTTCCTCTTGGGAAACTCCCAGGTCAGACAGATGACCCCGATGGTCTCATGTTGGATCATTATTCCATGATGTCTCTGCTTGATCAGCCAGTGAGAGATGAGTGGAAGTCTCCTATTACAAAGTGAGTAATGGTGTGGGCAGGACTCTGCCCTCGAACCATGAAATGTATTTGTCTCTCTGTGCCTTGTACTGTATGATGTGAAAAATTAAGGATGAGATTTCCTTTTTACTTCTGTTTGACTAAATAGTTTGACCTAAATATCTACTACTATCTCTAATACCTACTAACTGCACTTCTCATGGATTTTTAAAGCAATGTGTGTGCTTGGAAGGACCTTTGCAGTGCTGGTGTAATAGCGTAGCAGTCTGCTCTTCAGACTGCTGACAACTCTGTGTTCTCTGATGCTGTTAATAGGATACAGTCTGCTGATCCCTTAAATTAACTAGTCTGGAAGTGCAGAACTTTGAAAACAAGCTACGGAGAGCTGGTGCAGAATGTGCTTGGTGATACACTGGGATGAGTAACTTTAATGGGAAGAACTGTGGCTTTACAATTAAAGCGTTGTCAATTCAGGCCTGCTCAGTGGGTATTGTTTCTGCTTGATTCATCCAATTGACATGTAAAATTAGCACCTCAGAGATTGTTAGGTAATCAAAAAGAAACTATCCTTTCCTGCTGCTCCTCTTTCTGATGATTCAAATAATGAAGTCCTTGGTTCTTACACTTCTACCAGAGGCAGGACCAAAACTGCAGCAAGGTAATTTTCTCCTTGCTTTTACTTTGGTTGTGACTGCTTTCGTTTAATGCCCACTAAATCTTTCTTCCTACTACAATTACAAGTTTTGCTTGATAGCCCTTCATTAGAAAGCTGTGGATGCTGGCAGCGGACCTTGGAGATGTTTTCTGGGCAGTGTCTAGATAATGTTTCCAATGTATTTTGGTTATGTTCCAACAAGAAAAAGTCCTCCATATTTAGAGTTCTGTCATAGCTCCTAACAACTAGAAGCTATTGCTTCCATGAAGCAAGCAACCAGCGGATGCATTGGTCCTGATGCACCTTCAGTGTTATGTTCCTTTCTCCTCTTTATCAAACTTTGACACTTGTAGCTGCTTTTGTGATGCTCAGTTGTTGCAGTGAGTCATGTGAAGCAGTTCAAGTCTGGGCATTTTTACGGCACTGACAAGCAGTAGTTGAGTGTTGTGATTAAATGGTAACGTCCCTGACTTAGTATCACCTATTGTGACTTCAGAATAAATGTGATCTAATTCTTTGGATTTGGAGGGCATATAAGGGTAGTAGGAAAGAGTTTCAGGAGGTAAAACTTGTTAGGATTTTTGCAAATCCATTAAAAGTCCAAAGCAGGTAAGATTTCTTGTTTTCCAAAACTTGCTTTCCTTATCATGCTTTAAGAGCAAAACATCGCAGTGTCATTAACATGGAAGCTGGAACTATGATTCTGGGAATGATGATGTCTGTGAAGGTGCTTTGAGATTCTTGCTTGAATAATCTGCAAATACACATATTTGAAGGATCTTAAGAAGAAAACCCAAACACAAAACAAACACCCACACCTCAACAAGTGCACTTAAACACAAGCCTGACCTTTGGCTTAGCAAGTTTCTGATTCACAAACTGCTTACAGGTGGGAGGGTAATTGGGAACACTGTTCTGTTGTGCTTGGGTGCATATGCATCTGCTTTTGAATGTAGCTGGAGATGGGCAATTCAGACCTTTGATCTCAGCTACTGCAAACATTTTTACATACTGGAACTGATGTGCAGTTAAATCTGGACCCTAACAGCATGATGCATGCTCTGCAAGATCTCCTAGGATGCATTCATCCTCCCCTCTCCCTGAACATTGTCTAGGAAATACACATGGCTATCATTTTAGAAGGCCTTTTTCTCATAACAGACTTTTCAGGGGTATTTTTCTCCCATCCATGCTGTAAAAAGCATTGAAAAGTCAGGTTAGTACTTGGTCATAAACATGCAGGTTTAAAAAAAAAACCACATAGCTGTAGAGTCACTCTAGTTTTAAAACAAAATGAAAAAAATACTGATACTGTTAATTAGATACTGGATGGATTCTCACAGTTACAAGTGCACTGTTTAATGATTTTTTTCCACAGGTGAGCTGTTACTTATCCATACTTTAGGTAATGTTCTCTAGATTTTACTTTCTAGGACTCGTTTATGATTCCATTGCTTGCAACAAGTTAGAAATAAGTGATCCTTGCTTCTAGGTATATGAAAAGAAGCAGCAAGTCATACAGAACGGACATGGCTATGGGGAAATGCCAGGTCAATCTGTCTGTACACAGAAGAGGAGCTAATATGTTGCTATAGGATAGAAAACATTGTCTGTCAGCCAGGTGAAGATTTCCAGGAGGTTCTTGGGCTCAAGACTTAGCTGAAGTATGTAAATTTTTAGGAATTTCTGCTCTGTACCATACTTGTGTAACTGTAATGGGAAATTTTGCCACAGATACTTAGCAGAGGAAAGAACTTAGAATACCATAGGTGTGAACTTGGAATACCATCTTCAGGAAGCGGTGTGCTTCATGCCGTAATACTTGCCTACACACTTGGCTGGCCCCTACCTTGACTTAGAGAGTAAGCTGCTGGTAACCAGAACAGAAATGTTTGCCCAGGCACACAGCTTCTCTGTTCCTGGAAGAGACAAACCTAATTTGCATTATAAATTTTTGCTCACATGTGTCAAAACACTCTTGATACCTGCAAATGGACAGCTGGAAGGACCTGTTTTTTCCAGTTTCTTTCATGCTTTTCTTGTAGGTAATGCTTAGTTATTTGGTGCTTGCAAGGATGTGAAAAAACATGTGGTGATGTTGAGGAATTCAAGACAGAGTGGTTGGTGTAGATGGATTGTTTGTAGTTTTATGGTTAGGAGGAAGCTGCCATTTCATTTTACAGTGCATAGTAGTGGGTCGCCTTGGAGAGAATTAAACCTTTTCTGCAGTGCCTGTCCCGAGTCAGGCAAGGGTGGAATTTGCTATGGTGGCACTTTGCAGAGAGGCTTATACTGGTGTTGCCATGGAACTAATCATCAGTGAAACCAATTACACAGGCTGTTTTAGAAACTGTGTTTTAAATAAAGGGAGGGGAAGCCTGAGCCACCAGTAAATATCTTGCAGTTAAGGTTGAGGGTATCATTCACTTTTTACCTAGAGTATTCTGTTCATGTACCATAGAAATAAAAGAAGAGGGACAGTGATGTACATGATGTTAGCTGACTTCTTGAAGAAATCACGTTAAGAGCCGATTTCTGCTGCAGTGCAGTGCCTCATGATTACGTTACAGAAGCGGAATGAGTCCTCACTAACTGCTGCATTGCAGACCTGCACAGAGTGTGTTGCCTGTTCTGTGTAGCATAGAGTTACTTGTACTTCTTGAACTCCTGCTGCAGAGAAGACCAAAGCAATTTACAAAGCATGTGCATAAGGAATCATCTTTCTTCTTGGGTGGGATGTGGCACCAGCTAAGACAAGCAGAGCCAGAAGTATTCTGGAAATGTAGTATCCTGGAAACTTAAAATAGCAAAGATCACACCAATTTCTACTCACTGTAGGCTGGTTTTTTTCATGTTGTCTTGAAACTAGTCATGCATAGATTGCTGCATGCCTTTTCTTCCTATTTTAATATGAAACAATTTCAGCATATATTCAATGGTGAAATTGCCATAGAGGTATACAATAGAGGTATGTAATTAATTGCTTCTAGGAATTTGTAAATTGTCTTAAAACTTCCTTTAATCAGAATTTGCTGCTGTCATCTTTGAAGAGACCTAATTTTAAATAATGTCAAGATTTACAATTGCTCTTACATGATTCTTATGGCTTTGTTTCAAATCATACTGCTGTTCTTGTTCTTATCTCCTTGGTTTCTATGCTGGCTGTATTTGTGTATTAGGGCACTGGTGGTGTCATGACTGTAAAGCTATACAAGACAGTTCTGGTTCAAGGAGTTTTTTTACCCTAAACTACCAGAAAAATAGGAGTCAAAACCCACTGGCAAATCCAGAAGGTGGATTAATTTTCATTTATTGTTGTTAACTGCTTTTGATATTGGAGAAAAAGCAAATCTGTGGGAAAGCAGCATGGTTTGATGGCAGGAGGCATGTTTTCTCATATAGCATTTAGGCATGAACAGGAGCAAGGAGAGATGTCAGACCACTTCCTGTGACAAACCTCTGTTCCATTATCGCCAGAAACGTGGGAACGGAGAGTGGGCTGGAGTAGCTACAACAGAATCTGAAAGACCTAGAACCTCTGCTCGTTTCAAGAAAAGCATGGTTGCACTAGCAAAGCAGGAAGCTGGGCTCTGGCCTGCTTTTGAATGCTGGAAATAAAGAGGTACCCTGTGCTAGAGTAGAGAGTCTCACTGATGCTGTGAAGAATTGGCAGGGTAATCTAGGTGATTTTTAAACTAGAAAAATAGGATTGAGTTGATGAGTAAAAAGGTTCTTTACAATGTGAGATATCAGGTTCCAAGTGAATCCTTTAAAGATTTGTTTTGTTGATAAAATTTAGCTTTCACCTTCACCATTCTCATAAAATGAAGAAAAATTACAAACCAAACCCTTATCTGACCTACTGAACAACATGGTGGTGATTTAAGTTCCTTCACATAGTAGAACTGTGGGTAGGGAAGAGTTTACCTGTATTCTCCAACTGTTCTTTGAGCCTTGTGTTCGACAGTGCTTTATGTCTGGGAACACTGTATAAAAACTTCTTCGTGTGCTGTGCTGTGTTAGCGAGTCATGTAAATGGGTCATTTTTTTGGGGATCTCCTGGGACTCAGGCCTAACTGGGAAACTTCTTCAATGAAAAGGGATTTTACACCTGTTTGAGCTACCTTCTAAAATTAGAAATTACTTAGCATGTTGTGGGTGTCACCAAACAGCAGTTGCCTTTGAAGTCTCTGTAAATGCACTAGTTTCTGTGACTTCTCTGTAAAGCCATAGAAATGGCCAGTTTCCATGTGCAGAATGTATAGGCATTGTTAACATTTACAGCTTGTGACAGACTGACTGTTCTTATGTCGGCTGCTCGCTGTGTTAGCGTTTCACCTGATTAGCTTGCATTTCTAGCTGCAAAGGAC